CCCCAAAACCCCAAAACCCCAAAACCCCAAAACCCCAAAACCCCTGGGTGTTCAGAATATATTGGTAAGTTAAATATAATAAATATGGAGCCAGCACAAAGAAGCAGAATGTTTGGATTCACCCCATCTGGACATTCAAGGAATAGAATTCTGTTCAAAGGGCCTTCCAGACCAGAAAGATACTTCTTTTCATTTGGGCCGAATGAGCAAGAGAGGTATATTTTGATTAATACTTTATCGTACTTTGTGATAGCTAGTGCATCAGTATTTGTTTTAACAAAGTTTTGCTCAATAACCCCCAAATAATAAGCTCAGGAACAAAAATCGTCCTTCTTTCATAAAGATGTAATCATTGCCTTGATCATCAGCATCTAAATCGGAAGAGAATCACCCTCTGTTCAAAACTTAGTTTTACTCTAAAACTTAAAAAAATTCTGAAGAAGATCTATAACTAATTTTTTGGATTCATGAGTTTCAGAAAATATTAAATATTATGATATTTTAATTGGTCTCATGAATTTTTAAATAGAATTAGCATTAAAAAGTTCTTTTAGAGAGAAAATCAATGATTTGGATCCCTCAAAATTTGATGAGAAAATCATGCGCCCATTCATTAAGAAAGCATCTGAGTTTGAGCATAACTTATACAGACTTAAGATGCTTGATCAAAAGGTGGAAAGTAATAAGAGGTCCCTAAATCTTTGAAAATAATTATAAAGAGAATGCTTATTCTGAGAATTTAAGCCAAACAAAAAATAATTTGGAGTCTATTTATCAAGAACTCAACAGTAATGCTTGCCTGGATATTGAGCAAGAGCTGAAATCTTATCTTCAAAGCTTTCACAACTTGAGAGAAAAAGCTAGTGACTTCCTCGAAGACTGCAATGCAGAGTATGAGAAACATCAAGATATGGAATCTCAAAATTTGAACCCAGAAGAAGAAAATAATTTAATGGCCTTGCAAGTTAAACACCCAGGAGATCTGTTATACTTCAAAAATAAAACAATGAGAAGCATGAATCAGGAGGGTAGTAAAAATACCACTACTAATCAACAGGTTGAAAAAGGTAAGGGAGAAAACTTTGTCATTAAAAATCAGGATATACAGGTGTAATAAAACCGACAAACTTTCAAGTCTGAACTAATAAAAGCTAGCTTCATTCAGATTTTACTGCTAAAAGACAAAAAATAGAGTTTTTGTTAAATAGCCGCTTTTTTAGTTGATATCACAAAATTTTAAATTTGTTCTCACCGATATTAAAAATAGTAATAATAAAGTGTTATATCTTGAGGAATATGAATATTTTTGCTAAAAATATTAAAAACTAACAATAAACCTTTCATTACCTATGATTTTATACACCCTCACATTTCTAAATACAGCTGTCAAGTGCCAATCACCAATCCAAATCATATGTCCCATTACTGAAGGAGCAATTTTGAAGAGAGAGACGCAGAAGATCAATTCCCAAATAAGGGAATTCCTAGACTCAAAGCTCACAACTCCATCCTTATTTACTGCTACTCCCTCTTTTCTAATGAATCAAACTAAAGTTTACCGCCTTTTAAAGAAATATGGGTCTTATTCTCCTTCCTTTTTTTTTGAATTTGCGATAGAGTCAAGCAGAAGTTCTCGAAGATCACAGAAAATAGCACTTGAAAATATGCCAAGAGAGAGCAAGCATGATTATGTGTTGGAAAATCATTGCCAAGAAAAAGGTAATGATTTATATATAACCATCTGAAAACTTCTATGTTAGTTGTACTATATGAACAGACATTTTAGATTAAGTAGTGAGCAACGGGGTAAATTTATTACGGTCAAAGCTCTTAGGAGGATAGACTAAGAAAATGCAAAGTTATAACTTAAGAAATAGATTTAGTATTCTCTAAAATTTGTATTATTATGCTAGATCTTATTGTATTAAAGTTCTAAATATTTGTTATATAGTTGATATCTCTTACTTTCTCTCTCCAATCATCAAGATAAATCATATGTGAGAATCCCATCTGGCACTAAACTCCTTCAAAATCAACGAGAAGCAGTTCTGTCGTCTCATCGCTTCAAATAGAGCTCGCAAAATTTCTGAATTTGCTGAATGTGAGCTTGGAATAACCAAAAACACCAACCTATCCCTCTTCCTCAAAGGATCAAAACTCCAAAACATAAAGCTAACCAACACAAAAATAACCACATTGACCGACCCCTCCAATTACTCAGAAACCCTCGAAACTTTCATCAGAGCATTCTCTACATCAGAAGATTTTGTGAGAAGTGTTTTTATTTTGAAATTTTTGGAGTATAAGATGAGGAGAGAGGAAGAAGGGCATATTAAGGACAAGATGAGTAAGGTTTTAGAACAACTCGAATTGAGAAAATGGACAATTGTTTGTTCAGGGACATATTAGGCTTTATGACTTGACTCAATTGTGGAAATTTGTGTTGGGGTTTTGGGGTTTTGGGGTTTTGGGG